GAGGCGACCCGGTGTTTAGCTCTCGGGCACAAATGAAAATCCCTTTCTTTAGCAAACAATGAGTTTGACGTGAAATTACCCCATGGGTAATGAAAGCAAAGCCAAAGCAAGGTTCATGAAGGTTAGAGAGTTCAGCGTTTTGGATTACCTCACTTTTAACGATTCGTCGTGATAATCATCATCATCATCATCATTATCTCCTGGCTAGCCACTCCTGGATGAAGACCTCGTGACTTTGCGATGCCATAACCCACGTCACTCCTGCACATCAGCTGATCTCAATGCTTCATCTCGGGAGTGGTCATCCTCGTGGGCGAGTTTTCTCCCTTAATTGCTAGTCCATCACCAGTCTCACCCACGGGTCACCTTTCACCGGCAATTTCACACGGCAGAGATTGTTGGTGTGTGAGCATAGCAACTAGGAACGGAAATAAAATACCGAAAAACATCGACATTCCAGAGAACGAGTACAGGGTCCGTAATGCACACATCAATGAGATATTCAGGAAGGTAGATTCAAGAATGACAGATAGATTAAAAAATTGCATCACTCTGTTGTTGCTATCTCCTAGCCACTTTAAATCATTTAACAATCACGAATAGCTTGCCACCTTGAGAATGACCACGTCATTTTTTTGGGCTGGCCATCGAAGAAAGACGGTCACCGCATCGCACGCTTTCAGATGCATTTCTGTGGCTGTCTGGAATGCTCTTCCATCCGATATTTGGAAGCCACTGGGAGCCATGCACTTTGCAATCTAGATTGAAACACCATTTCTATAGAACTACTTTTTGTGTTTAGTTTGTTGTCCCACCGCACCTCTGATTAGCATGGTTGGATAAGTATGGTGCGAAATAAGTTCAACATACGTACATACATGATGTATCCTACCCAAGCCCACTCACTTTTCCTACCAGTTATAGAATTTGTTTGTTTTTAATTAAATTCTTATTTTTAAACAATGTATATCTGCATAGGCGTGATGTAACCTGCACAGGTAAGCAGTGGTGTTTTCAATTTATGCATAGACTAAACTGTATACAAAACTATAAAAAAAAAGTTCACAAAGAAAAAAATTAAGATCTATTTGAAAACGTTAATATAGGTCATAAGTTGAGATATCACATGTCGATATTGATCATAATTGTATGAAATAGAGGAGACATCACAAACATAAAATAACAGGGAGTGACCCACCATAGTGCAAAAATTGTAATGGCAATCACGGCACAGGTGACGACTTCGCTTGTACCTGTTTTGGGCTACTATGCGGCTGATTGCGCCATTAATAATCAAGCGTTAAGCATTCCTAATATATAGCTGTAAGTATTCACAATTACCCATCATGTAGGTAATCAGCATATAGCCCTTGGGTGAAGGGATTCCCCCCCCCCCCCCCGCCGCCTCCAAGGACATGATCACGTTTGCAATGAAGGTGTCCTACTTTTGCCAGTAAATGGGTCGGAGGAAATTATATGTATAACAACGCTTATGGAACATTTGTGGTGGAGCGGTGGTGCAGTGGTTAGCGCACCTAGCGCCGTGAGTTCGATTCCCAGTCACCACCCCATTCACCAAGCTGCACTGGCCAGCGGAGCGAGGGTATTGTAGAACTACTACCATCACCGAAGAGCATGGGGAAGCCTCCATAGATTCACACCAACGTTTAAGCGATTGCTAGTCCACGTATTTAATTGTGCGTGTAAGAATAGATTATTCACATCGTATGTAAATCCAGTATATGCTGTTACCTTTAGGATAAAGGAGCGAACAAGACACAAAAACAACAGAATGTAGGAAACAGGCCATACATATGAGACCATACAGATTAAACAACAAGAAATGGATTTTCCAATCGAATCACGGCCACAAATCCAATTCATTGAATTGCTCGCGGGGCGAGGGATGTCGTTACACACGCATGGATAAAGTTATGTATCTCTCTAGCCGATTTCCAGAATCCACGGTGTTAATGGTCTGCGATTGTGGTAGCGTGCAGCTTCTTTCGCGTCTCTGTACTGAACTAACACCTAATCGGGGTAATTCCCTTCGGCCATTTAATCTCGCCGTTAATTTATTGATGCTGTGCTAGTAATGTCATTGCAATGCCTGTCAAGCCCTGTCCAGTATAAGGTTCAACCGCATGGGACACAATATGGAGCATTGTACGCGACCTTTGTCATCAATAATTATTGACAGCCGCTGAGGTCATTATTGAGGGATGAGTGAATTGCGGCAGTCTGTGCAGTTTTGTTTTTTTAACGATTAAAGGAGACTCTTGAGGAGAGAAAAGCAAAGTAAATAGGCAGTGAGTCACTGGTCTGCAAAAATAGATCTATTCTGATGCTTAAAGTCAGTTCGTGTCATCTTCTTGGTTCTTTCGGTAAAGTCACGTAAAAGGGAAATAATAAAATAATACAAATAAAGCATTACAAAATAATAATTTTTTTATTATGTTTTATTTTACATAATAAAATAATTATTTTATTCTATTGTTTATTTTTATTCTTTTATTATTTCCATTCTACGTGACTTTACCGAAAGAACCAAGAAGATGAATCCCTGCAGTCACGAAAGCTTTAAATCGAAATTCAGTTCGTGTCGTTTAACCTGGTGAGAACTCAAATGACCTGGATCGTCATCTTTCGCAAGAGTGACTTGGGTCACGAAAATGACGAAACTAAATTAAACAAAATACGATAAGAAATATAAAAAATAAATCGGGACACATGCCATGCGCACGTCATGTGATGGACATACTATTTACTCATAAAGCAAGTGAGAGCCCTTTGAAACTACGACCAAATATCCTGAATGTACCCGATCCTATTCAATCTCAGTAGCGAAGAAAAGTAATGATTGGTTATTGGTTAGAAGGGTGGCTATAAGTGCATAGCAGGTGCTATAGGTGAAAAGTGCCAGGATGTGGCAATACAGCAATAAGTGTGGTCCGCAGATAGATTTCATTTACTCACTGGTAACACAGACGTACGGTACATGGCAATGAAGGCCCCTCCATGCCATATTGGTTATAGGGGTGTGAGACCGTGCTTCACCACGCTGGTACGTGCCAGATAGTGAAGAATTGGCCCGAGACCAGTTCAGTTACCACTGACAGCGGTAGCCAGAAATCAAACTCCAGTGCCTGGGGTATATAGCGCAGTGCACTAACCATCGCACCACCGCTCCATCCCGCATAGGCATGCATGCCTCAGACTACATATATACATACAATTATACAATCAAGTAGAGAATACCCTCTGTGAATCATGCACATTGGCCTGAATATGTGTGTGGCTTATTTTGACATCTGTCACACGGAATAATGTGCCTTCACATTACAGCTCCAATGCTAGTGGCCTTACATAATAATTGCCATTGTGATATATGGTGCATACGCTGCCGCACAAAGACCACGTGCATTCTGCACACCGAGCGTTATGTAGGACGAATATCTTATGGAAACTCTATTACTCAGCTGATTGCGACTGTGTAGTGCAGTGATTTCACTCAGGAAAGTGCTCTGCTGCTTTCAGTCTCCACTTGTGGGAGATTTGCAAGAGAGAGAAAAAAAAATGCGAACATAAATCATAGCTTTCGAACGAGGAACTTTGTCCTGTGATAAATCTCGGCCCGTCAGGACGGAATGCCTTTTTGTCACATTTTCCAACGAGTCTTGCCCTTTGGGTCAAAGCTGCGAATCCTGACAATGTTCACTTTATATTGCAGCTGCAGCCTATAATACAAGACACAGAGATGACCTTTGGCTAACGATAACAGTACAGTACTGTATTTGCAAATACCCATATAAAATGCAATCCAAAAATGTGGATTTATACAGCATCTAAATGGGAGCACACTTGAAGACGCCGCACAACAAAGCCATTGCTTGTCCTGCCCCCGCACCTCTGATTAGTATGGTTGGCTACGTATGGTGCAACATAAGTTTAACATAAATATACAGTTTAAGGGATGTTTTCGATTGCTGCTTGCAATGTTCAGCACCCTCGTCATGGCTACATCATATATGGTTATTGTTTACCAATCATCAGGTGCATGCAGCGTGTGACAACAATATCGTTAGGTAAGTATGCAACGTTTCCTTACATATCCGTCTCTTCATATTAAAAATAATAAGGCCGTGTGACCGATGGATTGGGTCAGAACTTATTTTATTTTTAATATGAAGAGACGGATATGTAAAGGAGACGTTGCATACTTACCTAACGACATTGTTGTCACACGCTGCATGCACCTGATGATTGGTAAACAATAGCCCTAGATGATGTAGAGTTGATTCATATCTAGGCAGAAATCGTGCGGTTTGTATTTACGTGTGTGTCATACATGAAGCAGGATTCAAATGCAGTCCTTGTTACGTGGCGCGCGTTTAGCAATCATCGGGCTTGCGAAGCGTGTAACGAGTTTTGTATGGAAATTCTCCACGCGATTGTAAATGATTTTATCACAATGCGTAGGCAGTGGTGCAAATGCACAAATAACATACATTTTCAACACATTTGTCAATAACACTGTGACCTTAAAAATGAAAATATATTGAAAAAATAGGCGACGTTTCGGGTAAATACTCTTATTCATAGCACTGAAATAGAGAAACCAGGGAGACAGAGGGGATAATAGGAGTTGGAGCATGCATCGTGAAGAATATAAAAAAAATATTTTTAAATTGGCATGTGAATTCTACGCTTTAATAAGTTACCCATCGGAATATAACAGAGCCAGCAGCAGCAGCTGTTGAGTGCTGTGAGTGACAGGCGTTGCTTTCTGCTGCTCCTGTTGACAGACCGCCGGGGGCAAGTGCCGTTAGCCAGTAGCAGCGCCTACGAAGGCAACAGGGTGGCCAAACAACACCACGCCCGGCCGCCTTTGTATCCCCCCGTAGCGATTGGTAAACAACTAATTCGAGGCCGAGTCGATCTAGCGGAGGACCGGTTGCACGTGGCCGTCACGTGGCCGTCACCGGCGGCGGCGTGGAGTTCGCGAACGCCCCCAGCAGGCGCGTCACGTGACCGCGCCAGGAGCCAATCACGATCGCCCAGCGCGGCACGGAATTCCTCGTCCACTCGACTGAGGCCTTCGCGAGGCGGCTTCCACGTCTCTGAAGTGTGTACTTTTGTCTAATTAAAATCGTATTTAACAACAAAAATGTAATAATAACGTGAGTGCAAATGTCGTCAAGTGTGCGTCGACGTGCCTTGTGTGAGTTCTAAGCGGTGGCTGTTGCCGCGCTGCGTTGAAATGAATGGAGGCCTAAGCAAGGATGCGTTGCGGCAATGATGTTAACACTGCTAGAGTGGTATAGTGATATTATTTATTATAGATAATACTGTCTTGTATCAACGCTACAATTAACTTGTTTTGTGAGTCCTGGTTCCCTGTGGATTGTCGCATCGCAAGGTCGTGAGAGGTGCGAACGGCTTAAGGCACGCATTCATCCAGCAGTGGATCGTGACTGACGTTGAGAGATTATCGCATTGTTTTACATTTAGCCCACTGTCTGTCGCTGGCAGGGTCGATAAAGTAGGTACCACTTTGTTGAGAAGTCAAGAGTTGTGGTCGTTGCGTTGTGGATGGACCTGCTACTACCATTGGAATGTGGAATTTCCTCTACTAAACGATTGCCACGAAAGCGGATAGGCAAACGCCCAGCGTGAGCTTTGGCAGTGACGCGGCTCTGTGTGTCATGTTGTTGTACATTGACACAACAAGAACAACAACAACAACAGCTGCTGCTGCTGTTGTTGTTGTGGTACTCTGCAGCAGCCTTGCCAGCCCCCTCGACCGTGCGGGTCGTGGGGTTATTACACTGGGTGAGTGTGGGGGGGGTCGTGGGGGTTATTACGCTGGGTGAGTGTGGGGGGGGTCGTGGGAGTTATTACACTGGGTGAGTGTGGGGGGGGGGGTCGTGGGGGTTATAACTCTGGGTGAGTGTGGGGGGGGGGTCGTGGGGGTTATTACACTGGGTGAGTGTGGGGGGGTGGAGTTATTACACTGGGTGAGTGTGGGGGGGGGGTCGTGGGGTTATAACACTGGGTGAGTGTGGGGGGGTGGAGTTATAACGCTGGGTGAGTGTGGGGGGGGGTCGTGGGGGTTATTACACTGGGTTAGTGGGGGGGGGGGGGTCGTGGGGTTATAACTCTGGGTGAGTGTGGGGGGGGGGGTCGTGGGGGTTATTACGCTGGGTGAGTGTGGGGGGGTGGGGGTTATTACACTGGGTGAGTGTGGGGGGGGGGGTCGTGGGGTTATAACTCTGGGTGAGTGTGGGGGGGGGGGTCGTGGGGTTATAACTCTGGGTGAGTGTGGGGGGGTGGGGGTTATAACTCTGGGTGAGTGTGGGGGGGTGGGGGTTATTACACTGGGTGAGTGTGGGGGGGGGTCGTGGGGTTATAACTCTGGGTGAGTGTGGGGGGGGTGGTGGGGTTATAACACTGGGTGAGTGTGGGGGTGGGTCGTGGGGTTATAACGCTGGTCAGTGCGGCGAGTCCGTGGTAGTGCCTTGTGACCCCTGCGTGTTTTTTAGCATGGTGCCCTCCCATCCAAGCACTGTCCAGGTTTGAACCTGATTATTCTCTGGGATATGCTGAGATTTGGCACATTCCATTTTATTTGGATATAGGCTAAACATGCGTTAATTATAACAGGTGTTATAGGCTGCTGCGAGGCAATTGTGGTGGGCAGGAGCATCTATAGAGGAAAGCTATCACTTCCTGCCGTCTTCATCAACCAAGTTATAGATTTTAACACGTAAGCTTTCGCGACCGATATTATTAATAATAAAGGTTTTTGTGTTAGATCGCGCCAGTATAAATGTGTCGTAGGTAGTAACTAATTGGCGCGTTGTTTACGTGACAAACCTTACTGGCTGTGTCGGGTGGTGGAGGGTTACGACACATTTATACTTACGTGATCTTACCCAAAAACCTTTATTATCCAAGTTATACACGTACGCTGTATATATTGTATAGTGTCCCCTTGCCGTCATGATCAACCTGCATTGACCAGCTTGGTGAAGTATGGTCAAATAATCCCCACAAGGTGTAGTTGGTAGGACTTCATCCAGCAGCCGATTGACAACAGGGTTGTGCATGTACATGTGGACGTTATTACGTGAAATGTTCAGCCACTAACAGCCTTTGCTCAGACCTTCGCTCTGTGCCTTGAGGGTTTTGTTGTTCATTACATTTTTAGACTGACTTGGTTTATGTGCTGATCGAAAGATTGTTCTTTTTTTAATGGGTGTGATTGATAATTACATGCAACATATTTTATTAGTTTAGGCTGCAAAACACTCAGATGGCTTCATGATGGCGTTTAGTGACTTGTGTATGCTACTGCCATTTAATAATTTGAATAATGTACATTTTGTTCTTCTTTAACTGCAAGTCAAATTAACGTAATAAACAATATTCTTTGGCTGGCATGAAATTTACATTCGGGTAAGATTCAGTGAATGGATCTATTAACACTTGTAAGGTTACAAAATTAGGTATTCGTCACATTGAGAAAATATTACTTTTTCTAAAATAGAAATAGGGTATTTAATTTAGCTTTCAGTAGAATATTGTAAACAAAATATTTTAGAAATGATTTTTGTTAAAAAGCATTGAAAGGTAAGTTGAAATGTAACCTGGTCTGTATGTCCAAAATTTAGCTCCATGTTTTAAAAGTGCAAATACTTTTACTAACATTTAAGAAAATTCCACTTTTCTGTATTTTTGTGCGTGTGTATTCATGCATGTGTAAGCATCCGCTTATATGCATCCGTGCGTGTGTACACAGGTACAATTTCGTGGAATATAGGTGACCATCAATATTTTTACATGACAAATTAAAGGAAAATATCATAGGTTTTTCACTAATAAAAAATGACATTAAAATACTATATTGGAAAGTATGCTATAATTTATTGAGGACTAGTTTTGTGTATTTCTACCAACCTCATAGTTTATTTTACTTTCAAGAAAACTTCCTACTATTAATACTATTAATCCGGACCTCATGTTTCTCTCAAAATCCATATCTGGGCACAAAAATACCCAATAAATGTGAACAAGGGTGCAAAATAATGTCCAGTTACCCGGTTAAAAAACTTTGACACTTGGTATTTGTTTTACTGGATAAATCACTCTTAGTATTATTAGACGTCTGTCATTGTTTTGACAAATTGCATATACAAGTAGAGAAATCTTGATTTGAAGCTTTCGTGACTGCAGGAATCCATACCAAAGAATAAGTAGAGAAATATCGAGGAGACATACCTCTTGGGCAGTGACCAGAATTACTAATAATGGATACATTTCCGAATATGTGAGCCTCGTGTATTCCCCAATGGTCGGATAGGTTGCTGCTCACATTTGTTTATAAAGAGGGTGATAGCAAATTCTCCCATCAGAGTTTGGGCAGTAGACCCACACTGTATGTACGTATGTTGAACTTCTTTCGCACCGTACATAGCCAACCGTGCTAATCTTATAGCATTGCCCATTTGGACCGTTCCTTTGTGTGCGTGCCGAACAGCTGTGCTGACACCATGAGATCGGGAGCCTTGCTGGGTGCCGGCCTGGCGTGCATCCTGCTCTGCCTCCTCCAGGGCAGCGCATGGGCCACCGAGGGCAAAAAGAAGCTCCAGATCGGAGTGAAGAAACGCGCAGACAGCTGTCCCATCAAGTCACGCAAGGGCGACACCCTCCACATGCATTACACCGTGCGTGAACATTGGGGAAAAGTGGTTTGAGACAACAACAACAAAAACTTCATTCGCTTGCATTCTGCCAACTGGACAAACCAGATTTTTATGTTATCTTGTTTTCCAAAACGCTTACTTTTTAGGTGATAATTGTTTTTTTAATGCATTTGTGGCCCTCATTCAGCAGTGGATTGATTAAAATCCTTTATATGTGCTTACATTCCATGGTATTGCCTTGCTAACGCCTGATTTTATTTCCCATTCTGACTTGTGAATGTGTCCACATGGCAAATGTCCACATGGCAGATATCTCAATAAAGTCTTGGTTTGAACTTTTACGATAACGCACCGCACTTCCACTGTACCATAACTTTAGTCTGAAAAGTGCTTTCCATGTGTCCGTCACGAGGCATCTACGCATGCCACAAGGTGTGTGTTGCTCCCAAGTGTTGGCTGCTTGCAATGCATCTTTAACAACGACATGGAAGAAAAATTTATGGATCCTTTGGGGCATGAATTACACGGACTGCAAAAAAAACGAATTGAAAATAAGGGCCAATATCAACAACGACGAATGTTGATATTTAAAAAAAACAATTCCACCAAATACTGAATATGTACATAATGGGGAAAACAGTCATGCAGAGCACACTAAAAAATGGCTGCATATCCTAAATTTAAGCTGTTTGTTAATTGAGCCAAATGGTGGCTTGGTAATTACACATTACCCATATAAATAATCATGCAAGTGTTATAAGCATGGACCTGGAAGCAATAGGGGAGCAAATAGAACGCCTGCCAAATAACATTTGTTATTCTGTCTCTTACAATGTATAGTATGCAGACCCAATAATTTTTTTTCACTTCCATTAGCCTTAACATGTAAAAAAAATCATAAACTGTTTTGACCATATTATTGCTTGTTTTTGACTGTGTACAATTATTGATTTGGCATTGTTCTCAATCAATTATAGTTAAAAACAGAATGATAAAAATGTGTACATGCATTGTACTTCTTGCAGGGTACGTTGGAGGATGGGACGGAGTTTGATAGCAGCATCCCACGCAACCAGCCCTTCATCTTCACTCTGGGCACCGGCCAGGTCATCAAAGGCTGGGACCAGGGTCTGCTTGGGTACGTACGTTTGCTTTGCTCGCAACCCTTCACTGGCACAATCCCACTTCTGTTTAATTAATTTGACCGGTATTGTCACAGCCTTTAACCTGACCACAGTAGCATAGCGTGGTCAAGATGGGCCCTGGTGCAAAGAATGAAGAATGGGGCCCACTGTTTAATTTCTACCCTTGTAGCCCGGTGCCTGGGCCCCTCTGGCCTTTGGGCGCCAGTGCAGTGGCGTTGCCTGTATACTTGACAGCAATGACCACCGTACTGAGCTCGGTCAACTTTCGGGGAGGAATATTATTTGGAGGTAATTCTCCAAAGTTTTTTCAATATGCTAGCACTTGCTGGCCTTTGGTGACCGTTGTTGACTTTTTTATTTCTATGCAAATTAGTAAATGGCACACTTAATAACGTTTCTGATTCATACTTGAATAGACCGCAGGTTGAATTGCAAAGGTAAGCATGCTTTAACCTCTAGCGTCGGTGAAAAAGTAACACTGTCGTGGAAATGTTTTCGTCATCATGAACCATTCACTTTCCACTGCTGGATGAAGCCTCCCACATCGTCACCACCCCTTATGGCCCTACAACACCACACTCCAGCTCAATGGTGGTTGTCCTATGGGGTTCGTCCCCTCATTTCGGAATCTCCAACTGCATCTCCAATTAGTACGTTTGGCTACGTACGGTGCACAAGCGGTTGAACATAAATACATCTACGTACAGATATAATGAGAGGCTGATCGATGCCTGGGTATGGTCGAGGAATGGCTCCCTATGCTGACGATCTTGTGATTGCTGCTCACTCAGAGAACGACAACAACAGTGGAGAGCCAGCCGGGTGGCTAAAGCACAGCAAGTTGGCAGATTATGGGGCAAGGGTGGTGCATCTGCCAGTCATCTTTGTCAACCCATGGCACCTGGTTCTGTCTGGTGACGTGCCAGTGGGCGTTCGTCACTTTGTGTGGCCTTAAATTGCACATCGCCTACCACAAGAGCTGCGTTGATGTCACCGTCACTTAGTGGCAAATAGCGCTTGTTGTTCTTCCATCTGGCTGGCACTCTATCGCCAGTCTCGTCGATTAGTTATAGTTTTAATGATGTGTCCTGCTCAAGCCCACGTATTATGTTTTTTACAATCACAAGGTGTGCCCTAAGATCTCGTGTATTCTCTCATACACGCATTCCTCTTTTGGTCTTTGTAAGTGCACCTCGCCACGTTTATTTCGGTATTCTTCACCTTTGGTTGCATGTTCTCTGTCAGAGTCCACGTTTCCAATGAGTGAATATTGGTAAGTTGCTTTTCATTGTCCAAAAAAAAAATCCAAATTCACACCAAGAAATAACTGTTGGAAGGACATATCTGTATAACACGAGAGTATGTATATAGATGAGTTATTGAAGGGGGACAGGGACCAAATTGATGAAATAAAGAGATGATTATGAGCAAAATTAATATATTATACTTATTTTTGTTATTTAGTATGATATTTTATGTTTTTTTTTTGGAATGTTATTATTCAACTATTACAGATTATGATTGCTATTGAGTTCTGAACAAAATATATTGATTTATAATAGTATTGGAAGTAGTTGTGACTTGTCATTGGAGTGGTTAAAAGAGTATACCTGATAATTATAAAGGAAAGGTTTGTAATGAAAGTAAAAAAAACATGTAATCCAGATAATTTTTAAGCATTGTAATTATGGTGTGTATGGTGGCGTGGTGCTCATATATAGAGTCCCACCAATTGTATCTTGCTCCAGAAAACGGCATGACAGTTTCCATAGCAGCCAGTAGCGAGGCCTATAGCAGTGGCCGTTGATGCAGCACAATGGGTAGCTCGGATGTGGATTGTCCGTGGCTTCCGTGTATAGGGCACACGTTATTAGAGAACACAGCATTGTTGTTTACACACATCCATCAAACACAGCCCCTGATGAAAGCCCATCAGTCTTCATGGTATACATTCATCCCTTCTTCTTCGTGGGCCCACACAGATAACTGTGCTCCTTAATAACCATTTTAATTAGTAGCTGCATTAACAGGAAGAAAAACACACACACGCACACAAACGTAATGAGCCCGATCTTGCCTTGTATAGTGAGTGGTACGTTTCGACACTGCCCTGCCCACGTATCGGCTTACACATTCATCAGACAGGCTGCCGCCATGTCCACGTCATTTCGCGTTGGAAAGAAACATGTCTGCGAATAGTGAGTCTGTTCACAGGGCAGGTATTTAGCTTCAGGGTATGTAGCATATCCTGCCGCAGCTCGGGCACATTGTTTTATAGATGTGAGAGTGTGCCACGTCCCCGATGTCTGAAAGGTGTTGATTCAGCTGCCTGCATTATTTTTGGGTCAAAGCCAGGTATAACAAATCGTTGTATAATGACATAAACACAAAAGTATAAACTAATTTCAGTTCACAAGCAACGTCGACTTACCGTCCCTCTCGTTGTTTCATCTCTCTTTTTTGCCTTTTTGTTTGCAGAGCACCTTTGTTGGCAAATTGTAATTGTACTTTGGAAACATTTGCTTGTCAGAACACAATAATTTGCTGCCGAAGCTATAGTTAGCATAAATAATACTACACTCATGTAACTAATCATAATGCACCACCACTGAAGTAATGACTTCTGTTTGGTAGCAGGTACAATTGTTGGAATGTCCCCAGTGAATTGTCACAATGAATGATAAAAACGGAGATGTATTTCTTGTATCGTGTTTTTCCTTCTGACTGAAATTTAATTTTGAAACTGTTTTCCAAAATCCCTAACCCGCCATCCCCTCTGTTAGTTAATGCTAATGGTTCTTCATAACCCTCTGCGTGGCAGGTGGTGATTACTTGAGCTTCACTTTGCAAGCGGTTTTTTTTCACCCTCTTTTCTTCGACTTGCACCTGCCATTCCTGAGATATGTCACACGTACAACAAACATCGAGATGTTTACTTACTGTTGACCGGGTTTCTCTTTTAGAAGACCTTTTTATCTCTCTTGGTGGCACATGCTGCACTATTATGGAACCACCTGTAAAGCTTGTATGTGTTTTAATTTTATTCACAATGGAAAGCCACAATGTATTGTCAAATCTACGTTAACGCAAACAGCACAGGCAACGCATTCCTATTATCATCCGCAAGATTTACCTTTGGGGACACTTACAACATGAATGTGGTGGTGAGGTGTGTGCTCAAACCCAGTGAATGCAAGGTGGTTTGGACAAAGGGTAGGCACACGTGATTGACATGCCCTGTACACCCACGGTAGTGTTTGCTCTGTCCACTTATCACTCAAGTTTTTTTTCAGGCTTCAGTCCTTGACACTGATTCACGCTTTTGCCTCCACATAATTAAACTCTTGAACGTTTAGTCTCGGCTCGGTGAAAGTCCTTTCTCGTCGCTCGGTCTCTCTTGGAGCAGAAAATAACTGGCGCCTGAATCCCAACCGATGTCTCTCCAGCTGTAATGCGGCACAAGTGTGCCTGTGTGGCATGAACGAGTTCACTGGTTGTGTACGTTGATGATTTAAACCGAACTTTATTTCATCACAAAAATGTTTTTGTCATCGTGCAGAATGTGTGAAGGCGAGAAGAGGAAGCTGGTCATCCCGCCTGAACTTGGTAAAGTTTTTTCACCCCCCCCCTCCCAAACCCCTTAAGCTCACCGCATATCGCAGGATGGACAGGGCTGACATACGAGCGGTTCCCGAAACGATCGAAAAGCGGCCGTAATTTAGCGTAATAGCACCCAAGATTTTGAGAGGCCTCTTGTCGGATGTGGCACCGCTGAAGAGCGGGGGCACTCGCCGATTGGCCGGCGTTGCGAGGACTTGCGTCTGTCGCGTCCCCGGCGTCTGCGTGCCTAACGGCCCGCTGTCTCGCGTTGTTTCCGCCCACTGACGGACGCGTTCGCGTCTGGGCGCCCGCCAGACCATGTCCTCTCGCAGTGGGGGACAAAGAGGCCTCGTCTTGTCTGCGGCATGATTAGACGGCTCGGGGCCCCCTAGCCCCCCCCACCTCCGCTTCCAAATTACCACAATCTTCAGATGGCCTGATAGCGTCTTCTTCTTCCTTTTTTTTAGATCCCTTTGAACTTTATCAATTTTGTCAGCCAGCTTTGTAAACGGCAATAGGAAGATAGCAGGTTTGGGGTTTTTTTTTCTTTCTTCTTAACTTTGTGCGTGTCTTTTTTAATGCGCCCTCAAATTTAAAGCCACTGATGTTCCAAGGAAAATCACTTTTATAGTTTTAAGAAGTCCAGATTTTCTGATTGTATGTAATGGAAATGGATTTTTTTAAACGGGTGGAATTTTGAACGTTTATTCCGTGTGATTTCTTTTTCTCGAAGGCTACGGGGATCGAGGAGCACCGCCAAAAATTCCTGGTGAGTCATGATTTATGCATTTGTGATGTTTTATAAACTTAAGGAAAATAAATGTTCGATTTACAGTCGTTTGAATTCCCTGGCCTGTATCTGTGTTCATATATTGAACGAATAAGTTTACTATGCAGCAATAGCATAGATTTTCAATTAAGGTGTTCCTCTCAATTCATTTATGATACCGTATTCACATATTGGTAGCATTTAAAACCCCGGTGTTTCAAAATTACTCCTCTTAGGTGTTTTAAGTCTGACATTTCTGACCGGGTGATGTGGGTGGCGAAAGTCGTTGACGGTGTATAACTTCCATTATGTGAGATTCATGTCGTTACCTCAGTGCAGTCAACACGTTTGTTCATGTATCTGTGTGTACCAATTGAATCATCCTAGGGCTAACCCAATTTGAAATTACTACACGGTGCCACATTTAACAACAACAGAAAACCCAGCAGCATGACATGGTCCTGCCCCCACACAGAGACTTAATCCTTCGAACAATGGGGAATCAAAAGAAATCCAGCTCGCACCATATTTCTCCTCGTGTTGAATTGTTCGCTTCGGAAACATGTGCACATTTGGGTCTGAAGCTGTCGGTTATTGGGTTTTTTTAACTACTGAGTGTACCTACAGAGCATGAAGCTCATTTTCAGACCTATTTCCTTTTCGGACGGTACAGTAGGGACGCAATTATACATTGCCTCATTATCCACGGGTCTCGTATAATCCTCGCTCTTTTTCAGGGTTGACATGGGGGGCGGGTGGGGGGGGCCTGCTTGCGCGACAGATTTGCCCGGTGCACTGGGGGTGTATTAATCCGCCACGCTGTGCCCGCCGCTTGCCCTGCCGTGTGGCCCGCTCGTACCAGACGCAGAGCGTGCGTGCGTTTCATTCACTGCGTATGGGCTGACAGTGTTCCGAGTGAAGCGAACGTGTACACAATGAAGTATTACGTTGTAACGGCAAGCATCGTTTTATTCCGACGACTGTCGTGTGTAGGAACAAAAGAACTACACGTTGTAAGAATTTGCATGTTGGTATTAGCAAATGTACATTTATCTCAATCCTGTATATTGTGAGTAGAATTAGCCCTCGGTTTCGCGGACTAATAGGGGGGAAGGGGTGTCCATAGAATCCGATTGCCCGTTAATGGCCAAATTACGTATTTTGAGCACTAAATCACACCCTACCACATGCAAACTACTTCCTGATACAGTATTGTAATGTTTTTCATGAATGTTTACAGTGATAATAATAGTGTAATAATACTTGTATATTTCAGTGTGTTTTATCTTCTTAAATAAATTATAACTTTGCATACATTATTTGAGTGGAGGGTACATGTAAAGACTGCTGTAACACCATACCAACCCGTTCTGTTAAAACTGTCCAAGCGTCAAGCAATCACTTTTCACCTTTGTCGTGATGTTACGTATACAATACTGTACTGTAAAATATTTTAAAGACCAAAGTGCCGTAAATTAACTGTACAACGAATTTTCCACTTTTCTATTTTGACTTCTTTTAAACACAAAAAACACGTGTAGTGTAATAAATACTGTCTACCCATTAAGGGGAAGAAGCGAATATTGACGGGACTGATTTCCTTATTACCGGAAAGTCGTTTGATCTTCAGACAAAACTCGGATTCAGCAAAATCTTGTCCATTAAATCCGTGATCCGTTGAATGGTGGTCCTTTAAACCGAGGGTGTACTGTACTGAAAAATGAAAACAGTAACATTTGAACAAACTTGCGTTTCCAAATTAAGTAACAATCAATGGATGTTTTGGGGGTTTATGTTCATTACAACTCTAGGCTAGGCCGCTATTATTACTATATTTGTGAAACTTATTCCACTCGCCCGTAACAAGTGCTGCTGCGCGTTGTATGCAAAGTATTGTCGTGCTTATATTTCTGTTGTAGCGATGCATTTTAAGTGACGGTAGCCGGGAATGTGAGCGTTGTATTTTTATGCTCTTTCTCGTTCAGGTGGAGCTACCTTGGTGTTTGAAGTGGAGCTTTTACAAGTGGAGCGTCGAGCGGAGCTGTAATCCAGCGCGAACAAAACAGAAATCATTCCTACAAATTGCAAATGCATTAATAAATTCTACTACAAAAAAAATCGTTTCCGCTTCCTTGATCATTTTTCATGGAAAATTTTACGCATTGCTGTTTTGTTTAGTACAGTAATGTATACTGATTTATTCCAAAACTTTATAAGTCTACCCATTCAGATTTACTGTCGTGCTATATTTTCGTTTGTTGTCCGTGCACATGTTCTAATATTAAACAAATGTGGAGTATTGAATTTAATCTCCAATTTGGCCCGTGAATGGTCTTTTGCCCCAGTGAACATTGTAAATTACCCTTTTTATGGTTTCTTCATGTCCCTGCCAGCACAACATCATCATCTTATTTACCTTGCCAACATCCCCCCGCTTGTATTTAATCCAAAAAAAATTAACGGCTAAAAGCTCCCAGTTCTGTGCGTTGCACGGAAAATTGAACAATTGATGGGCAGTAGCGCCAGCGAGTTTACGGTTTCATTTGCATCGCTGGTTAAAAGGGCAACACAAAAAAAAGGATTTACAGAAAACACCTTGTGGCTTGTCCGTCGTATGCACCTCGTGCTTTCTTGCAGCGGAAGATTACGCAACATTAGCCCATGGTTGAGTGTGCCGTGTCAACTCAACTCCCACGAGATGCTCGAGTGAGCACATCATGCGCCTGATGTGTAGTTTTTAAAAAGTGACCTTTACAAAAGCCTCGAGGTCAGCGGGTATTGCGTTATTACATATCCCAAAACTCCCTTCGATAGTATGTTTTACAGTGCAAAAAAAAGGCATCGTTAAATGAACGTATGCTTCCGATGAACGTGTGTCCCCCATGCATTACGCATTGGAGGTGCAGCAGCAGTATTTTACATAGCCGGTTATTGGCAAGCCTATCACTTAAGCATTTGACTCGACATCCGGTGTATGATGGTACAGTAAAAGGATAAAGGCTGTGGATTTAGTTTTTTAAACCACGTGTGTATCGCCATGATCAATCTTTTGGATGAAGGCCTCCCCAAATCGCCATATATCGCTGTCCTGCGATGTATAATTCCCTCTCATTGTCTCACCTTCCTCAATTCAAGAAACGCGTTAACTATTACCCATGACAACGATAGTATTCCGGGCCCAGTAAACGTGATTTTTTTACGAGAATTTCATAATAAATGTTTATAATTTCAACCATTTGTGTGGTTGCCTGCCTGGCCCCATTTTCTCAGTGCGTTACCTGCGCGGATCCAACAGGTCTCGCCGATATTTCCGTGCAAACGCCAAAAACTGAAGCAAGCCGTGCGTTTACAAATAACGCTAAACGGTTTTGATATTGCTATATTTGATCACTCCGTACGCGCGCTGCAGAGAACGCTGCATGAGGCGGCACGGGGTCACGTCGCAACAAAGCATCTCCGGCCGCGTTCCCATGCTCACCCAGCCGTGTCGGGGCAAGCTTAAGCAGCCTCCCCGCCGTGTCTCAAGACTTCCACGGAGACCTCGTGTGTGGAGGGGTGGGGGATGGGGTGGGACCTGTGGGCACCCAATGGGGTACCCATGCTTGTGTTTGGTTAGGGTCGTTGTACAACGTGGGGGGGGGGGGGGGGGTTGGTCTGTACGATTGTCGTGGGGTGCATCTCGGCTGGGAACGGGGTGGCCGTGCTCCCGTTAACTCAACTGCTAAGCTCGACAATTCGCTCCAAATCCCGACACAAACTGTTTGGTTAACCCGCGTGAACCCTTTCGCTCCCATCAGCGCTGCGTAATCGTTAGGAAATAATTGCAGTGGGGTTCCTTTTTTTTGGGTGGGCTTGCATGGCTTGGCTGTGAATTCGCCATTGAGTGTCAAGAGCGCAGAACTCTGTTGTGTTTTTGGGAGTTGCTCCTCCGCGCGTTGATCGCCAGGATGTCCGGTGTTTCGCAACCACGTGCTCGGAGCTTCTTCACGAGGTGAACTCGGTGTGTCCGCTTCTTCGGGAACTGAATTCGTTTTCGGAAGAAGCTTCCGCCGGGCACTTTGTTTGCGGGGTAGAGAAGCACCACTCGCGTTCAAATCACAGGACGAATGTGCCCGCATCTTTCCAAACTTTGCACGGCAAGGGAGGATGGATTTAATAAAATTTCGATATAATCCCCTTGATGGATTCGCCCGTCCCCGTGGGCTCGCTCTCACCTGGTGGAATAAAATGTTCGACTTGTGTGGGATGGGGGAGGTGAACGAGTCTCGGGCTCTCTGCCGTGTGAAGGGATTTGGGGGGAATCCCCTGCAGGTATGTTGTTTAGCCCTTGACAAGTGCGCGGCGGTCAGTAATTATGGGTGATTGGGAGCACCCGAAGCTCCTCTTGTAGAAAAATGTGCCCCGCTTTTCTCGGCACGAACACCTCTTGACCCATGGGGTTAGCTCACTATATATATACACACACACACAGTGGATCAGCGCTGCGCTACGAACCTAGCGACGCGGGTTCGATTCTCGCTGGCGGTCCAACATCAGTGGCGATTATCTGAACCCGTCCTGGGCCTCCCCCAGGTCGACTCAGTCTCATATGAGTACCTGGTGCGGTATGTAAACATCGCTACTGGGGAGACGAAGGCGGCCAGGCGTGGTGTTGGCCACCCACCCCTCGTGTACCATGCCGACCTTCATAGATGCTGGCTCACAGCACTTGCCCCAACAGTCTGTTAAGGCTATACGGGGAGGAGGATCTTTGACTTTTGTATATATACGGCATCGAGGTTCACTGCCATAAAAGTCAACCTAATATTGATTTCGCACTCTAACAATCAGTTAATTACGATTGTGGTATTTTTTTAATGAATGTACACGGGAATCAAAGTTTTTTTTTTTTTATGGAATCACAATTAAACGATGTTTCACTTTAAGGCTTAATTTGATCGATGTATTTTGTTTTAGTGACACTTTTTGAAAGAACCATTCGAAAGGTCCCACCGTGTGTGTGTGTGTACATGCACTTGCCCAAACAGCCTGCTAAAGGCTACACGGGGGATCTTTGTTTGTATCTTTGTAGATATAATCATATCAAAGTGCATGCGCGTATAATGATACCTATGTAATATATTATTATACGTTTAAATTATCACAAATCAGTCCACGCTTGTGCAATTAGAACCCGGAAGGAACCTCACGATTTATCCCATGACAAATTCTGTCTCGTTTTAATTTCAACAATATTGTTGAATTTTACAATCAATTGCGCGGTCGTTGGTCAATCCACTGCTGGATGAAGGCCTCTCCAAGCCGTCACCCTGCTACGATCCATCTCCTCGGTGGGTGGATGTCCACTCGATCGCGTTTAATGCAGTATAGAGGGTGATCCGTGGTTGGATACCCCGCTAACATCATGGAGAAATGATCGAGAAAACAATGCCCGTCGCCTCTACACGTCTCTCGCCCATTCTCAACAATCGTATTCAATGTTGTAACACTTTGTAAGATTTGAGCAAACGCTTTTTAAGATATGCAATCACCCGTTGATAACTTAGTATGAGAACCATTGCTAAATCAGTGGGGTATCTAGCAATGGATCACTAGCTCATGCATGCCTGTACGTTACGTGCGTGTGTATATATAGGGCGCCGCGGTGATGAGATGTTAACTACCTCGCCTGGTACACAGGAGGTCGTGGGTTCGATCCTAACCCTGATGCATGTTCTCCCCGTGGCCGCCGTGGATTTTTCTCCGGACCCCTCCGGGTTTTTTCTCCACATTGAGAGTTAACGCGCGTTTCGAGTATCTGGCTGCTCTACATGTCCACGTGATGATGATGAGCCACTTCGTTGAGCTATCATTTGTGATCGCCATGTCGCTCATGTGAAAGAGCTACATAGCTGAGTGGGCCTTACCTGGTAAAATAGAATAAAAGTTTCTTATATTTTTTGATAGTTTATATAATTTTCTCATATAAATGTACTACTGGGAACATGATGGGGGTTAAACCTCAAACAAGCCCCCTCGACTGAGACTGCGTAGGGAGGGAGGCCTTCATCCAGCAGTGGTTTGTCAAACGACTGCATCTCAATTCTCACGTTTCACAACGGGCCCCGTGTACTGAGTGTAGCCGTAAAATGTATCGATAGCCTTCGTATAGTTGGGATGTATAATATTGATGTATATTATTAATGTCGATACCGTTGTATTTGTACAACATTGGCAACGTATTTTTTTTATCAAGCTTCGTAAAGATTAGCCTCCGAAAGTCGTGTTTATTCAAGTCAATTCCCATTATATAACGACCATTTCATTCAGGAGAGTCTCACTGAATCCCAACAGGGGCTGCATCGGCAAGTTTGCCAAATTAGTTTAGGCGTTTAAAATAAAGTATAATATGAATGATCTCTCATTTCGTAAAACGAATATACTTCTAACGTGTATGTATTTAAATCACCTTTTCCATGTTGTATAATTGCTGTTATATTTCCGGCCCAGACGCACTCTTCTGTCTGATGGGTTCCTCAGTATTTATAGAAAGTGATAGCATTGAAGTGTATGTATATATCTCATGTCCTAGGTACGCACGTACAAAGACAAAGATCCCCCGTATAGCCTTAACAGACTGGCGGGGCAAGTACGAGTATAACCTATGAAGGCCGGCAACGGTGGTTTGACCAGAAATACAGCCCGGCCTCCTTTCTCTCGCCAGTGGCGAATATTTACACATCGCACCAGCGACTCATTTAATGCTGAGTTCAACCATTGCGCCACCGCTCCCCCCCCCCAACACACAGACGGAGGGCTGCCTCGAGGGGATGGTGCCGTGGCATGGACGCGTTCCGTGACACCCGAGTGTCGGGTACAGCCGGCGGAGGAGTTCACGCGCGCGGGGCTCGGCGCGTTTTGTGTTTGCTCCGTGACCCCTGAAAAGGCAGCCAGGGCAAAAACAACAACAACTTCGACTCAATTAAAGGGCTCAGGAGCGGTCGGCGCATCGCGACGCATTGTTTCCAATTCTTCGGTTTTTTTTTAGCGCTCACAAGCCCAACGCTTCGTGCAAGCTCCTCTTTATCAAAGGCACGATGCGAGGTCCTCGCAAGGACTTTAGCGATATCACAGAGGGAGAGGAGGGGTGAGAAAATAAGCCCGCAAATATATACTGTGGGATGTATGTATATATTCAATAACGTGTGCACGGGGCTTGATTTCTCACTCGATATGTTTTTTTTCCGTAACTCGGCAAAGCCGGCTTGGAGGTAAGGGATCATCGGCGTAAGGCACTACCACTAGCGTGTGCAAGGTATGCCTATGAATAACAATCCGATATTGTTGTATAATTTACTTATTTACACCACCAGCGTAACATGATGACAATGCAAGGCGAGATGGATGTGACTGCTTGACAAAATAATTCACAGAACAGTATTCCGGACTGTTCCAACTTAAATTAATGACCATATATAAACTAAACTATTTTTTATATTACCAAGTAAGACCCACTGAGCTATAGTTAATTTTTAAGACGCAACCTGGCCACAAATAATAGCCCAATGAAGCGGCATGTCACGTGGATAATCATAGCAGCCAAATATTCGAAACGCATGATGATTCTTAATGTGGAGGGAAAAACCGGAGGACCTGGAGAAAAATCCACGCGACCACCGGAAGAGAGACACGCAAACTGCAAATATGCAGCAGGCGTCAGGGTTCGGGATAGAACCCACGTCCTCTTGCATACCAGGCGAGGTAGTTAACATCTCGCCACCGTGTCTGAATACGATGCGAATGAATACGATGGCGATGTTTAACCGCAGTGAGGGGAGGTGGTCGCTTATGAGGACTGTATCACCGATTGCAAAGGATATCTGAAGGGCTGAGGTTTGGACGAAATGCAAATTCGTTATTGTCCTGTGAACACAGAACACTAGTGCATCTCGTGAAATGCGTGCTGTTGCCGCAATGTAATATATTTGTGTTTATTGCAATAAAATTATTCGCATCCATTCTCAATCCACTGCTGCATGAAGACCTCTCCACGGCGTGTCGGCCATGGAGGCTTGTTTGACCATACTTCACCGCGCCGGTCTGTGCGGGTCAGTGAAGGAGAGGTGTGCTTCAAACCTGGATATTCATTATGATTTCTATATGATATATTATGATATATAATGTATATTATGATCATTTATGGAGCAAGACGCGAGCTAATTGAGATGATGGCCATTGTTTCTTGGTGGTATA